GGACATGTAGTATGCGTCAGTCCATTCTGTCTGACGTCCTGTCCGCCATGGCCTGTCTCATGGAACGGACAAAGACTCAACAGCCGTCCTGTCTCACAGATCAGTGGATCGTCGGTCTATGAACCCTAGACCCTAAACCCTGGACCGACTTGCACTTCTGACAGAAAGGACGACGAACACCGACGGATCTGGCTGCATGGGTTTATGTTAGGCCGGAGGTGGCCACCCGGCGATCTCCCACCTCAGCAGGCGTCGATCTGCCTTGTGTTATTGAGAGAGAGCGGTTTCACGCAACGCCCTAGGTGGCCGACGGCCTCATCCCCTGTTTGTCCGACATACGACATGTAACCCGCGACACGCAACCCGCAACCCGCAACACGCAACATGCAGGCCGGCGAATCTGCAGAGGCACTGAAAGGGCGACAACATGGAGACAGACACGCACTGTAGCACGCACGTCACCCCGGCAGATGGCCGGCAGGGGGCGGCCACGCGGCCATAGGAAGGTCCCCTGGTGACTTGCGAACCGCACTACAGCGCCACGTGCGATATCGGGTGTTCTGAGACGCGGATGGGAAGAGCGCTTGGGACTCGTATTTCTGGGCCAGACGCGTCAGGCGGCTAGCTGTGAGCCGGTCTGCGCCTGCCTTTGCTCGCAGCGTTGCTTTTCATTCTCCATCAACATGTCGGAGCGACCCCTGCCACCGTTGATCCCGCTCAGCTTCAGCGTGCCGCGGTGCTGGAACAGGAAGATGTCCCTCTCCCTGTGCCACCACCCTCTCCCTCGAGACACTTCAGACACAGATCCAGCAGGTGTCGGCCAGTCACCTGGAACTCTCTTCCGAGGTGGGCGTCTTGCGGCAAGTCTGCTAGGCATCCTTTCAGCGCTTCCAGTCGGCTGAGGCCACTCCCTCCTCCCTTCTAGAATCCGTTCACCGCGTGGCGTCAAGATTCTCAAGGATGGCCCGATGGACGTCGGCCTGCTGCATCAAACGGTGGAGACAAGCATGACGCCGCATTGCAGTAGCTTCAGACGGGCAAGGCAACCTTCGATGTGACCAAAGTGGACGAGCCGTCTGCTGACCATGTGATGCGGGCCGTCCTCAACCAGAGCAAGAGGGGCATGGTGCACCCAGAGGACATCAGCGGCAGAGGATGTCTACGCCGCCTGGCAGCACATGAGGGACTTCGCCCGCCTTCTCAAGCTGGATTGGCCGGTCGTCTATGAGAAGGCGGGTCGAGAGGTGCTCTTTCTGGGGGTGCTGAGGGCTCTGGGCAAGGACTTCTCGGAGGATGTGGACTGGGATATCCGCTGCGAGCTGCTGGTGCGCGATACGCGATGACAGGTACACGGGCAGGGCGCGGTCCGGGATGGGGTCAGTGGGTAGCTAGTGATTCGAACATTGCATTCTTCCGTCCGTCGGCTGTCGTCATTCAGGCTGGTCATCTGTTTTTCCGTCTGTCTGGCTGCGTGTCTATCTCTCTCGCTACCTGTTTCGCGGCCCATCTGTTTGTCCTCTCTGCTGCAGTGGTGGGTCTGTCGCTCGCAAGCTTTTCAAGCTCGTCCTTCCACCCTCCGCCCAGGCAGCCGTGGAGCCACTTTGTCCTCCCCCCCCCATTCTTCCCCTTCTAAGCGCAAGGACCCCAACTTCTGCAACAATTGTACAAAGCTCGGAGTGCAGCCGCCCCATACGCACAGAGCCGGCGACTGTCCCCACATCGGCACCAACGAATGGGTGCTGGCCTGCTGTGCGTACCAGTCTAGAGGCTTGCCCTGCCTCCATCCATATAAGCAGGCTGGGGTCCTCCGAGTCGCAAGCGCAGCTGCCACCGCTGCCAGCACTCGCGAGGGCGAGGGGGTGCCGGGCTGACTTCGGGTGTATGTATTTGTAGTGAGGTCGGTTGCGTATTTGTTGTATGGTGACTGTGGTGTGACAATGTTTTCGTGTACATTTGGCTGGCTCAACGTGTTTTTCTGTCGCCCCTTAACGTATTTTTCTGTCACCCCTTCTTTCGGCTTGCTTGCGATCCTGCAGACGGGTCGTTGGCAAGCTCAGCATCGCAATCGTCTTAGCAGCCGTCACGCACAGTGATGCGGGTCCGGACACAGATCAATGTCGATCTGCATCTCAGTCTGCGGCATGTGGCGTTGCATTGTCCGTCCGTCAGTCTCGTTCGTTGCTAGCGCATCACCTCACTGCAGCCACACCCACAACGTCAACTCGTCCACCCTAGACGCATGCTCATCTACGCTTGCGAAACGCTTGCCTGCGGTCGTGCTGCATCCGCGCCTCGCTTGCCACACGCTTCTCTGGCAAGTGGCGCATCACCCATACGTACCTGGTCCTTTGTTGTTTTGTTGCGATTGCCCATCGTGGTCACTCGATTGCCGTCTCGGTACAGATGTTGTCATGTCTCTGGTTGGTTGGTTATTGTGTTTTACGAGACTCGTGTCTGTAACCCCGGAGGGGATCCTGTCCATGTCTCTGGCCCCATTCTGATCGCTACGTGCTGTGGCTTTTGTCACTGTCGGACATGGTCACTCGATTGCCATGTCGGTTATCGTTCGTTTGGCACGTCTGCGAGCCGTCATATGCTGTCTGTCGCCATGCTGTGCCCCCGTTGTGTGGGTGCATGTCTTCACCTCTGTTGACCGTCAGTCGTTCACACCTGGTCCGCCGGCTTGTCGACTCGTACATGCCTGTCGGGTTTGCCTGTAATCCTTTTTGTGACCTGCATGCCCCGATGCGCATGCCTGCAAACCCCTCTGTCGCCATCTCGCCTACACACAGGTGCTGCATTGACAGCTGTCTCTTTTAACGTGTCGTGCTGCCTACCAGCCTTGTCTGACGTCCTCTTTGCCCTTGCCACCAGCTGCTTTTGTCAGCATCGTATGCTCATGCTGTTGTGTGTACTAGCTGTGCACCTTAACACTGATATGCTGTTGTGTATACTAGTTGTGCACCTTAACCCTGATAAGGTTAAGGTGCACAGCTAGCGGGCAATGTATAAAAGCCACTTTCCGACTGGTCGGCACACTCCTCCTTTGGATGGATCCGGCACGTGGGCTTATCGTCTGACGAGCGCTTCCGGCACTGGTCGATGCAGCGGCACCCACCGTTGGTGAAGACCTGCTCGTTGCATCCTTCGACGCAAGCGTCGTAGTACTGACCGAGGGTGGGCCCCAGGCACTTGCATGGGCCCTTGTCGCAGTCCTCCTGCCGCACTGTGCAGTAGCGCTCCAGGCCGGGGATGTTGAGGTTGAGGATCTTCTGGCAGCTGTGCTCGACGCATGGACAGCCGGTAAGCGAGAACAGCACGCTCTGCGCGGCGCACTCATCACCCTCGCACACTGTCCTTTGTAGTGCTCTCCTGAAAGAGGAAGATAGCAGAGCATCTTAGTCACACACAACACAGACAGAAAAGCAAGCACTGAGGTTGGTGTTACTCCATTGACCCTGTGTGATGTACCGATACCGTTGGATCTCAAGCACAAGGCTGCATAGAGGCCACTGGCGGCAAGGAGTGAGACTGACACCAGAAGACAGAAGGCGAACGATGAATTATGCTTTTGGCCGCTCTCTCTGCTGCCGCTCATCGTCCCGGAGGTCGGCGTGGGCTTTCACGTGACATCGAAAGAGAGAGAGCGGTTTCACGAGGTGTCCTAAGTGGCCCGAAAGCCTGGTCCAGTGTCTTTCACGCACAATCAAACGAACGACACGCAACAGAAATCACCCATGCACGCTCCACATGCACAGAGGAACCCAAGGAACACACTCACGATGCCTCCAGACCGAAACCTGTCAGGATTGCCAGCTTGGCAAGACGAACCACTGCGAGCTTGTGAGCTAGGGTAGATTGCTGTGTAACGGAGAGAGAGAGGAGAAGACAAGGAAAGACAAGGAAAGCATTCTGAGGAGACACGATCTTATCAGCCATCACCGAAGTGAGATCTGTGTTGACCACCCTTCATGATGCCATACATGGACAGAAACAACTTTGACTGACTGGCCAGTCCATCGGTCTTATTAAAGTAAAAGCACTCTTACTCTGGGACTTACCGCCCAGCAG